TGTGTTTTAACCATGTCTATCGAGACACCACTCATTGAGAGATTCGAGTCTCTCGTTCAGAAATTCGAGTCTCTCGTTCAGAGATTCGAGTCTCTCGTAGAAAGACTGGGATCTGTGTTTTAACCATGTCTATCGAGACACCACTTATTGAGAGATTCGAGTCTCTCGTTCAGAAATTCGAGTCTCTCGTTCAGAGATTCGAGTCTCTCGTAGAAAGACTGGGATCTCTGTTTTCACCATGTCTATCGAGACACCACTTATTGAGAGATTCGAGTCTCTCATTCAGAGACGCTTAACAGTTTTTTTGACAGACTCTCTCAGCAACACCAGAGAAACTCGATGAAAGACGGAGACTCGAGTCTCGCTTTCAAAGACTCTGAGAGACTGAACATTTTTATCTCAGGAAATTACAATAAAAAATTTGAGTGTAAGTTGTAAACAAGAGAATACAAATCATATGAAAAAAAGGCAGCAGTATTTTCCAGATACATACGAGTAGAGAGTAACTATAACTAATCGGGTTTAGAACTACTATTCCCGGAGGAACACCTAAAAAATTTAATATTAGACGGAAAAGGCATAACGGAAGTAGAATAATCCGACCCTTATGTAGTAATAAAGGGAGACAGAGCATTTGTCAACAGTAATATCAGATTCCAAAGTAATGCCGTAGCTTTGTAATAGGACTCTTGGGCGATATCACGAATGACAAGGAATCTAATCTATCCCAGACAATAGAAGATAGTAAATGCGTTTCATATGATGAGACTAAATCAGCAATCTTTAACTTTATCCAATAAAACATCCATCACATATTAGCATTTTATTCTTGTAATACATGTCTAATAAATACCAGCTGAAACAAAAAAAAATACAACGTGTAATTATACAACACGCTACTGAAGTGAAACTTCTTTAAACACACAAACATACCGGGATAGGGGTTAAGGAATTGGTTTAATGGTATTATTTGTACAATATGCTTCGCACGGGTGCAATGGTGATAGTAAATATACTACAGAATGTCTTCATATACAACAATCACAGCTTTTTTGTCATTAGACAATGCAAACCGACCGGTACCGCCGCAACCGCTCTGTCCCTGCATTTTAAGCCTGTAATATCTTCGAAAATATTCATTTAAATTACACGCTGTAAAGGACCATATTGATCTATATTAAATGCACAATGTATTTAAAAGTACTTAATTGGATAAGGATTAATGCTGTATTGCTTAAAATAGTTTCGTAAATAAGCCATTATCTCTCGTAAAAAGTAAAGGATAAAAAATGGTTATTGTGAATTATCCCTAAGAGAGACATATACCATCGCGGACTTTTTCGTAGACCTTTTTAAGGTGTACAATATTGTAGTATATTATTTTGATCTATCTCGTAGGGTTCAGCCAGCGTTTGCAATGTAAGCGCAAAAAAATGTGTTTATTTACGACATCACATTAGAAACCTCTAAAATTGTCAGTGTTCTCTGCTATATTATGCATGTATTATACATATGAACCTTCCTCCTGAATTCCTCTATCTATTAAAAAAAAAAACGCATTAAAATCCGTTGCGTAGTTTTAAAGATCCAAGCATACATAGGGACAGACAGCGGGGAAAATGCGTTGCATGATTTCGTTACATAGCAACTGGCATGAAGCGAACTTAACCTACCGTGCGTAAAGAAGATTCACTTCAAAAAGTGTATCTGATGAGTAGTAGGACAGTCAGTCAGCTTTTAGTAAAACTACTACTTAGGTATTAAAAATTGAGTTACAATCTAAAGTAGTGACGTGAAAGAAACTGAGCCCTTTTTAGTTTTTAATAAATAATTCAATTCCGTTATTTGGATTTTCAGGATATTTTTTGTCCTAGCATGATTTAAAATTTTTGGATCACGTCACCAAACCAATTTCCCGTGATCAGCTTGCGTAATTGACATTAATTACTTAGCTAGGCGTACATATATACTTTTGGTTTGTCGATTAAAGTAGTCCCGCGTCGTTTTCACTCTTCGGGCGCTATTACCGTTTGGAGTTGTAAGTCCCTCCAGACCGTTGAAGGAATTAGTGTCGACCTCAAAATTAACTGACAATGACGACTGGGGAATTAGAGTACGGGGACTAGCAAGAGTTCCCCAGTCTATTATTAGTTTTCTTAGTACCTAATACACTCCTGTCGCTTGCGCTACTCCCTTATACACAATACTCGCTAATGTGCCTTATAAATTGGATATGTACATACATATCTATAAATGCATGTACGTATGTATCTAGCGAGGTAGGAAAACCAATTTGCACTGCAACTTCTAATGAATATGCGGCAGATCACGTTCTGCACATTACGTTCCACTTGGAATTATTAATGGAAAACGGGGACGGAATTGAGGAGTTTTTCGTGAGATTTTACAATTGCAGAAAATTAAATTAGCGTCCTTTGGTGTCTACATTTAAAACGTCACTGAAAGCGGGAATAATTGTAGATATTGCGCGGCGTGCACAAAATGAGTGCAGCGGAAATCGATTATGGTTTAGTTCAAACACCCTTAAGAGATAAGCTTAAATGAAGCAGTAGGTACATAACGAAGTTCACTCCACTATTGA